CTAATGGAAAATCGGGAAAGACAGAAACATAAAAGTAAAATCATATGAAATGCATAACTCAACCTGTGGAACTTCCTTTATGTGCCAAATGCCAATTGATTATAGACTCTAAATATTCTCTCCAATCTTTCAGGTTGCTTTTCATGCATTAAGATTTGCAAAGCCTGTTCAGGAACTTGGTAACAATATTGCTGAAAGAATGAAAAGCAAGGGACCCTACCTTGCTCTTCATCTGCGGATGGAAAAGGATGTCTGGGTGAGAACTGGTTGTCTACCTGGTTTGAGTGCTGAGTATGATGAGATTGTAAACAGTGAGAGGATACAACGGCCGGAGCTCCTGACAGCCAGATCAAACATGACTTACCATGAAAGGAAGCTGGCTGGCCTTTGCCCCTTAAATGCTATGGAGGTTACCAGGTAGATATAAACCCTTCCATCTATAAATAGGCTTTAGGTTTCCACTAAGGGTTTGTTTGGATAAATTTTTCCAGAAACACTTTCAGGAGAAAAAATATGAAGAAAAATCAAAATAAACTTCTTTATAAGCTAAAACTAGTGTATACAAAAGTTAAAAATGAGATTTTGGCAAAGTTAATGGGAGAGATTCTACTAAATAACTCGTGTATAAATTGATTTTAGCTTATAAAAAAACTTATTTTATTTTTCCTTCTAGAAGTGTTTCTAGATAAGTTTACTTCAAGATGTCCCAAGTATTAGTGTGACAAGCTTTTCTGATATTTTTCCCCCTTTTCTTTTATAGGCTGCTTAAAGCTCTAGGAGCTCCAAAAAATGCAAGAATTTATTGGGCTGGAGGACAACCATTGGGTGGAAAAGAGGCCTTGCAACCATTAATCCATGAGTTTCCACATCTTTACAGTAAGGAGGATATTGCCTTGCCTGGAGAACTAGAACCATTTGCAAATAAGGCTTCCCTAATGGCTGCCATAGATTACATAGTCTCTGAGAAAAGTGATGTTTTCATGCCATCTCATGGAGGAAATATGGGCCATGCTCTTCAGGTATAGGATTATAAGCAATTCTTTAATTAGTTTAACAACTAACTGACTGAAAGATAGCTTAAACTTTAAGAAACTCATAGATGGATGTTTGCATAATTAAATTGTAATAATGCACATGTACTTAATCTAGACTCTGTTACAATTTCTAATTTTGAAACTGAATGTTATTTCAGGGTCACCGGGCCTATGCAGGACACAAGAAATATATAACCCCAAACAAAAGACAGATGCTGCCATATTTTCTGAATTCTTCCCTCCCTGAAGCAGAGTTCAATAGGATCATCAAGGAATTGCATCAGGATTCATTAGGTCAGCCAGAACTCAGGACTAGCAAGGCTGGGAGGGATGTCACCAAGTATCCTGTTCCAGAGTGCATGTGCAATGGCTCACATCATCAGTCCTCCTAATTGCACATTTGATATCAAAGCTTTTGGTACAAAGATTACATGCAAATGGATATGCAATGCTAGTTTCGGCAACCTGTACAATCTTGATCCCTTGTGAACTACTTGAGGTCACTTCCACGGAAACCACAGTTCTTAAGAGAACCATCATTAAGAGACATAAAGTCAAGCATGGCTATCACTATACAGGGGTACTCACATTTTTACTTAAATACACGTATGTATGTTATTATGCGAGGCGAAGTAGATTTTCATCAGTTGATGATAGGCTAAACTAAATCAATGCATAGCAAATCATTCTTTGATTCTTTATAGAGTTTGTATAGGATACATTTTACTTACTCTTGTTACGTGTAATTCTTTGTAGTACACTATCAAGCCTTGTACTGCTGTACATATCTGTATAAATTCTCAATTTTGTTATTGAGTTATTTGCTCTTTCAAGATCACTTTGTGCTGTCACTTATTTAGCATCAAAGGTTGCAAATTAGAAGAAACCGAACGTGTGATTCGATTAGTTTTAAAGTATCTGGAAAGAAAGAAAATATTGTAAATATTCTGAGGGAAACTTTCATTAACATGAAACATACTGCATTATTGTGGTTAATTTAAATAAATTGATCTGGAGATGATACTTGCACAACAATATCTCCCAATAATTTATACATCATTTTTTTCATCCCTCTCCATTACATTTCTTAATGACAGAGAGAGATAGATACATAAAATGATGTACAAATTTTTTTATGGATTGTTGTAGATCAGGGTGTTGTGTGTGTGCGTTCTTCAGGAAGAAGTTACCTTGAAGGCTAGAAACATTACATTTGTTACCATACTATGTTTCTGTTTGAAGCATTACAAAAGTTTTTGGCAATATTATATTTCAGGTGTAATGTAATATTCACCTTACGACATACTTACAATTTCTCATAACACAAATCCTTGTATCTATTCTATTATATTAAGATTGGTGGGGACAACATTTGGCAGGTAACACTTGGGAGCTATTAAATGATTCGTTGTCCTTGAATGATCTTTGATTAGAATCAAGACAAAATACCTCTGATGCTATTTGGAGCAGAAACTTATTTTATTTTATGCCAAAGATAGGATTGAGGTGCCATTTGGAACCGTTTTCCTTTGAAATAGGATGTGTGACACTTGTTTTAGAATTCAGATGCACAAGGTGATCAAACAAAACATCAACAAAAATCAACTCTGCTAGTCCTGCAATTGTCAAATTCCAAATGACAGATTCAAAATAAAACTCCAAACTGCAGAGCAAGTCACAGCCATTCTAAATGTATAGCTGGTACCTTTGTGGAATGTTCTGGCAAAAAGCTCGGATTGATCACCACCAGCTGTTATCCAAGAGATAAGCCATCGGTACAAGCTTTATACGAACCAATGTTTGGAAATTGGAGGACAGTGAGTTCAATTTAATTCATAATTATCTACTAGAGGAAATGAAATTACAGTTTATAACCATCGAAAAAGATAAAACTTACACGTAATTCCTTGGGTGGTTGACAGTGTTTTTAATCAAAATTAGAGTTTTATTCGGTAATTTATATCGATTTTTAATGTAAATATTTGTTACATGGATTATTGTGATAAAATTATAATTCTAATCAGAAAACACTGATTAAAATAAAAAGACTTAAGAGAAGTCTTAAAATATATACCACCAAGTAGTCATGGAAATTTTTTTAAAAATAAATAACCCATCAACTGTTTGATTCTGATTTCACAACGACATTAGTATACCCACATGCTAACCCAGAATTAGCTTCTTGCAATTGACAATGCATGTTTTCTTTAAATAAGGTGATGTATAACTGGCAAGATCCATGGCATCATTTGCATGATGATAGAAGGTTTGACTCTCAGCTGAGCAACACTGAAAAGCTGAACCCATAAAATTAAAGAATGAAGCTTCACACAATATTTCAACTATTGACCACATAAGATGTAACTTCATCTGTATAATAATTTCTTGTTCTAACATATTCACTAATCCAATAATATCACCTCAAAGGTATATGCCATTTGAATGAAATACTGCATGACCAAACTGCATATTATAAACAATAACACCAAAAAATATCACCAATGAATGCTTATCGTGAGCAACAGACTGCTTGCTTTTCTGTAAGGGGGCAATTTTTTGAAAAATTCCTCGATTTAGTCGTGTTTCGGGAACATGACATGAAATATCGAAGTCGTGTTATTTTTTTTTTGTCTTCTCCTGTGGTGTCACACACGCTTAACATATCATTCAATATTTTATAATAACAACGAATAGCGATAAAAATAAGTTGTCTGAACAAGGTTTTCAAAAAGTGTAAAAGAACATTTATCTTTTAGATCAGTGTTGAAGCTTCGCGTACTTCTGTTAAGCAGCATAAAATATAGTTAATTTTTTCCCCTTTACTTGACTGGTAGAAGTGATGCACAATAGAGATAAAGATGAATCAACAAACAAATTGAATATGAAAAACTGTTTGCACAAGAGGTGTTTTTAAATCACAAACGTAAAGGGTTTTTCATTGATATTTTTGCCGAAAAGTTTCTGATGAATATTTAGAGTATACATAAATACATAAATACATAACAACACACTTTCAACTACTTAACGGATATGATAACCTGGCTAACATCATTACATAACTAAACACACTCCAAAATGCATGGGTCTTGCACTAGAGTATACTGAACACAACTACAACATAAAATTTTAGATAAAAGTTCACGTCACAAAATATTGTTGACATGAGAAATTTCGGTAGTTTCAACAAAACCTTGAGAAAATGGAAACTCTTATAATTTTCAATAATAAAATCTTACTAGTAGTATGTTATCTTCTTTGGCAAGCGTACCAAATCATATAAATAGTTTAATGAAAATATGAATATCGTCTCCTAAGGAACTTGTTTAATACTTTACAATATCACTCGTTATACTAACTAAACTATCAAAAAACAATAAAAATTTGATTTATTGTAGTAAATAATGTAAGCAAACAATGTGAATGTTATAAGAATTCTTTTTGTATTTTTGTAAACACTTAGGGTGCAAAACTTGATTCTAAAACAATATTAATAAATGTTGGAATTTGACTTCACTAAACCTTTCTCTCACGTTTATCAATGAGCTCATAATAGTCATCTTTCAGAATTTATCAATCCCTCTAAAAAATAACCAACCCTAATCCCTTACAAGTTGGCACCTAAGTTGCTAGATTAACCTATCAATCCCTTGCATAGTTTAACTAAAAAACCAACTTTCAAAACTAGAGTTTAAGAAAGACTAATGGCATTTACTCTATTCCTAGAAACAAGCACCATTAACGGCTCTATTTCCATTCAAAGGTTTAAAATCATTTTCCAATCTCTTAAAAACCTCAAGTTCACAGAAACAAACCATAACAAACATTATGCACAAAAACAGAGCAATAAAACTAAATAACAACTAAGATTAATCACTTAGAGTTTACACATGAGAATGAGTTTAGTTACATCAAACCCCAACAAGGGTGAGATTAGCTACACATAAACATGTAGAACGCTACAAAATGATGAAGAAAGGAAGAAACTTGATCTTGAAGGTTCTAGAGCTTTCCAACCGCCACACAGACTCCAAGAAAGATTCTCCATTATTTTCTCAAAATACCCCCTTTTAGGTCATAAAAGTTTGTCTTATCTGAATAATGACATGTTAGCATAATTCATGCTAAGTGTGAGGGATTGGTTTAGAAGGGAGTGACTTTTTGGAACACTAACACTCAACACCAATTTTCATGCTCAGGTTGAGGATTGAAGTTTGTTCTTTTTGACTTTCTGCCAAGCTGAGGCTAAGTGTGGATCTGAGGCTTAGCGTGAAGACTCAGCCAAAAATTCTTTCTACTTTGAATTCACCACTTTGTCTTTTGCTTGCTTCCTTCTTTCCTAACTTTCTCCTAAACTACAAAATGACAATCAAATGCTTATAAGTCACCTAAAAACATGATTCAAAGACAAAATGTGATCACCTATGAATTTAGATATGTTTTGAGTTAAAAACAAGATCTCAAGCTATTGGAAATTGATATAAGCGCTCCAAATTAGGTCATAAACTTAATGAAAACATAACACTTATCAATACCCCAAACTTAAGATCTTGCTTGTCCTCAAGCAAAGAAAAATAAAGGAACTAAGTTAACACACAACCTAACCTCTTAATTGAACACGAACACTGATAATAACAACAAACAACTATACATGTCTTCCAAGAGTTGAACACAAGAAAATGTTGACACTTGATCAACCAATTAATGTGGTGCCCGCACAATTTGATATCAAAAGTGTATTGCAACAGTTCCCAAAGGGACCTTGAAGAATAAACTCACTACGGCTCTTGTGATTATTGCTCCTAATTAGAGTGAAAACTTTGAGTTAATGTGTGATACCGGCGACTATGTTGTTGGAGATGTCTTGGGTCAGTGGAGGTGTAACGTCTAATAGTATAAATATTAACCCCAATTTTATACGTTTATATATTTGCAGATAATATATATATATTTTTAGATTGAGAACAGAAGACAAATAAGTAATAAAAGAAAATTTTCAAACTCATACACATAATTGACTTATAATGACCTTAAAATATTTGCAATAATATACGTAATTATAAACTACTCATATCTTACATTATTATTTCCAATATTTACATTACATATTATTCTACTATTATTTAGAGTACATGCTTTACATGCTATATTTTTTTTTCTACTACTTTTCTACTACTACTACTACGATAGTATTTACATTGGTGGTGGAAATAAGTTTACAATAGGATTTGCATGATTTGCTGGTGGTAAAAAGAAAGTCACTATAATGGGTCCATCTATAATAGTGGGATTTTCTTGATTGGGAAAGAAAACGAACGAAGACAGTCTTATGCCTTAGAACGTGACTGAGTTGGAGATAGCGTCTACACTCCAATTACTCCCGGGAAAAATGGCAATGATAACTACTGTAAAAGGACCTAGAATGACCGGTAGATCCATCTATTTTATGATATATTAAATTTTTCACAAAAAGAAATAAGGAGTGAGAACACTTATCAAATAAATATAATTAATTAAATAAAGAACAAGATTGTCTATAGTAAACATAAAAATTAAATTTTTATTGTTATAATAAAATTTGAATTATTTTAATAGCGATTAGTCAGGATAAATAAGCATTATTATAATATCAACCAAATATCAAACAGGATATTTCACCATAAGTCCTTACTCATTTAAATCCCCAAGGTCGAACCTCCAGCTACAAATAATTCAAACTTTATCTTCTATGGCCATAGAACAATATTTATTTTCATAAATACGTGAATAAATAATAACAAAACGAGTCCAAGATATCACAACTATATCATAGTTGATTATAAATATATTTATAATA